TGGCAAGTGGACAGAAAGAAATACAAATGAAGTGATTCACTGTCCTTTCCCTCCTTATCTTCTTTTGTTGTAGAGATTATTTGTTTGTTTGACACAATGGATACAACAAAGAGACCATCAGCCATGTTTGTTCACACTGCCTCACGTTTGGAGCACACTGGCCAGACATTGAAGATACCCACCAACCTCAAAGAGCTATTACAACATAAATGCTTTTTGGTTGTTGACACAAATGCATGGATTGATTTACTTGAGTTCATATTATCTCTTAAGGAACATCATAAGTTGACCATGATCGTCCCCTCAGCAGTCGTCCAAGAACTGGACAGCTTAAAAATGTAAATAAAAACAAATTAACCCTAAGTATTTATTTATTTACTTATTTTTTTGAGGGGGGCTGGCAACCTTGGAGGAGGGAGTGGAGGCAAGCATTGTCACCGTCCACAATGGCCATTGTCAGTGCAGCCAGCTTAGTGGAGTGCTCCATTTTCCTTGGCCATCCTGTCTCATTGTGCTTGAGCCACAAGAGACAAACACAACCTACCGGGGGAGGGGGCTGAAATGTGTTCCAAGAATGCCTGGTGGTGAGAAAATACCAGCTTTAAAAAAAGAAAATAAAGCCGTGGCTTGGAACAGAGTCACTGCAGAAGGCAACAACCAGTGGAGGCCTTGGGATCGCTCACCCTCACTGCCGTCTCATCTTTGTGGTCATGCTTCTCAATCACTTCCGTGGCTGCAGCGAATACCTCTTTCAATCCAATGTGCTTCTTGGCCGAGCATTCATAGTACCTGTGTACGGAGGGGCGGAAGGGGCGTGCGTGAGTGCGTGTGATTGTGGCCACAATACATACATATCAAAGGAGCTGGCGAGTAGTAGCTAGGAGACATGTGACACATACCCCTCGGCCCCAACCTCCCGTGCAAGTTGCCTGCCCTGCTCGGTGGTGATGGGTGTCAATTGGGACTTCTGCAGCTCATCACAGGTGTGAGGGTCATCTCGCAGGTCGATCTTTGTGCCGATGAGCAGGAACGGCTTGTCCCCTCCATGCACACGCAGCTCGTCTTTCCACTGCACACAACCCAATCAGCGAAAGTCTCTAAAGGACGTGCTCACGACACACAACCACCAAGTAATGCCAACAACTGTAGGGGCAACAAGACGTACTCTTTGTTTGACGCCTTCAAACGAGTCGTGATGAGAAGAGACAACGCTGAAGCAAAGCAGGAACAGATGCGCGCCCTGATAGAAGAGCTGTATGTATGATGTTTGGGTAGGGGAACGGGTGTTAGGGTTTGTATGCGCATGTGTGAGCACAGGCCAACCTTCCCGCCGTACCGCGCGCATGCGATCGAAATCCTCCTGGCCTGGTAAGGTCACAAGACATGAGCAAGTGAACCGGCGGCGGTATGAGTCGAGGTCATGCAGCCACCGGATATGCAGGGAGCGCAGACACAGACGGTGGTGTGCCAAAGACGGGAGGTGCGTACCAGCCGTGTCCCAAATGCCGAGCTTGTACGTGTTCCCCACCTTGGACGTCACGGTCTTATTGTAGTTGTCAAAGACTGTGGGCACATACCTGAAGACGTGAAGCAGGTTGGACATTATTTTTTAATATAATGTCCTTAAAATTGAAAGGGGGGGAATAAAGCGAAGCGAAGGAGTAGGGGGGAGGTACTCCTCGGGGAACTCCCCATTGAGATAGGTTATGAGGAGTGATGTCTTGCCAACGGCAGCATCACCTACAACCACACACTTGCGCGTGTTCAGCTCATCTCCATCCATGTCCTCCCTACTCCGCCAACCAAGTTGAAACCACAACCGCGAATTTTTTCCCTTTTTCATTTCCTTCAGTTGCCGTCCGAGAGCCCCCAGCGAAACTGCAGGGCGGTCAGCTTGCCGATCAGTTCGTCGACGGCGATCTGCTTCTGCTGACCCTCGCTGTCAGCGACCAGGCGTTCGTCAAGCAGCGCGACTCCCTCTCTGCGCACACACGGACGCGATCGTGAGGAGTCAGCGTGAGTTCGGGGAGGCCTTATGCGGGCGCGAGAGCTTGATACCTGTAGGCGTCGGAGGACTGCCTCTCAAAGGTGTGATAGACAAGCTTGTCCACTCCGGCCAGTCGGGCAGCCAGCACTTGAAGGAGTGCCATCAGCACTTTATTCCCTCCGTAGGCCCCTGCACGGCAAAGGGGTGAGTGTTGAAACCGTTGACCAAGGAGGAGAGAGGGAAGACCGGCGAGTGGCGCGAACCTGTGCCCCAGTTGCCGGTGTGTATGACCACGAAGGGAGGCGCAGATTCGAATCCTTTTTCTTTGGCCGCACGAAAAGAATCAACAACTGCGGCCCTGTACCCGCTGAAGGCCGTGCGGAGGATGAACTGGATCTCGTCTGTGGCAGCGAGTTTGGAGAGTCAGCACAGAACCACGAACACACGTCTTTATGGATACCAGCGTACCATAGCGGTAGGCGCCACGTCCCCCAGGCGGGGCCTCAAGGGCGAGAATGTTGGAGATCGTGGGTGGCTTGAGCACCACGCTCGCGTTGCGAATGGCTGCCTCTGAAGCCGCGGCAAACGCTCCGCCGTACAGACCATAAGGCCGTCCTGTCCGAAGGGAAGAACACACACCGTCATAACAGACATACAAAGTTATGTTGTGTTATGTTGACAGATCTGCCACGACGAAACGGCCAAGGCAGCATGGAGTAGAAGAGGTTTACCTGCGCCTGGATTGCGGTCGGTCTTCACGAAGATCCTCCTCTCCACACCCCGGATCAAGATCGGTGTGGGCTCGTTACCCTCTGTCGTCAAGGGTCGGAACCTAAGCACCACCACAACTTCCGTCAGCTTCAATTTGTTGTTGTCCTCCCCGCGCGATACTATGGAGGTACGTGTACCGTTTGTCGCGGCTTGATGTAAGGGCCTCGCGAAGGGAAGCGAGAATGGGGTGCTCGGCCACCTGCATTTCGTCCTGCGCGTAGAGGCCGCCAGCGTAGGCAATGAACAGGTGGCTGTGTGCAAAGTTCTTGTACCACGATACCACCGGCCGCCCCTCCTCCTCTTGCGCCGTGGGCTCGTAGGTGAAGGCATCCTCGCGCATCTCGAGCTGCGTCTTCTGCTTCATGGCATCATCGGGCACGTAGAGGCTGGGCAGGGGTATCTCCTTGTAGCGCGAGTAGTGCAGGGTGCCGCGGTGGGAGTCCGCCCCCCGCGGGCAAGCCAGGGCATACACCAGCTTCTTGTTGGGGTGGAGCCACCGTGGCGGGTGGTCTGTCGCCAGCTCGTTCGCATCAAACGAGGCCTGGCACGTCACGTAGTCCTCTTCCTGCTGCTGCATGCTGATTTTGCATGCTGATTTTCTTCTTCTTCGCCCCCAAAGTGGTCTCTCCTAGGTTCGGTGAAACTGAAAAAGCAAGGAAAAGGGCCGCATTTTTTTATCTTTATTTTTATTCTCTGGCCAACGTTGGCTGGCGCTGAACAGGGAAACAGCGGGCACCAGAGGAGATATCTGACGTGGTGGTACTGGGTATAATGATAATATAGGAAGAATAGCAACAGAACATGTTGGTGAAGAAGGGCGGGCCGCGGCTTAGAGGCTGGCGGTGGCCTGGGTGCCAACGGCGTCGGTCCAGTTATAGCCGGGATAGACGAGGTCGGGGAAGCCGTAGAAGTCGATGGTGGAGCCCGACGTGAAGCCCTTGGCCACGGCGCTCACCTGGCCGGGGTCGGCACCGCAATCGGCGAGATCGACGACCCACACGGCCTGCACGCGCTGGTTCGACTGGCGGGTGCCAAAGTTGATGGTGGCCTTGGGCGTGGCGATGGTCAGCTTGGCGCCGGCGGGCAGCGTGAGCGTGAGCGACACGTTGGCGAAGGTCTTGCTGGCGGCGTTGTTGTCCCACGCGGAGCACAGCGGCGCCGGGCAGGGGAAGGCCAGGTCGGCCACCACCACGGCGTAGCCGCCCAGGCGGTAGGTCTTGAGCTCGAGCTCCCAGTTGGACACCACCGTGGCCCAGTAGGGTCCGATCGCCTTATCGCCCGAGGCCTGCACGTAGTTCCAGCCCAGAGCACCGCAGAACTGCACCACAAGTTGATGAAGAAGTTGACGGCATGATGAAGAATGATGACATCGTGAGTAAACTACAATTAGGAGCAACAACCACCCACCCACCACCCACGAGCCAACAACACCGGTGGGATGGCCCATGCCCGAGGGTTAGGGGGTTGGTTCTGAGAGACAGTACCTGGCTGTAGGAGTAGGTGAAGATGGAGGGCACGCCGTCGCGGCCCCACGGGTCGATGGCCTGGAGGGTCTGGGTGTTGTCGTTGTAGCTGTAGATCACGCGGAAGTGGCCGAAGTAGTAGAGGGTGCCGGTCGAGGTCGAGTTGTAGTAGAAGTAGAGCATGGCCAGCACAGGGTGGCCGCCGGCGACGAGCTGCTTGACGGCGTTGATGTCGCAGGTGCCGGGCTGGAGCTCGTAGGAGACCAGGCCCAGGCCGGGCACGCCGCCGGTGTAGTTCTTCCAGCCGGCCGTGGCGCGGTCGGCCGCCGGGTAGACGGTGCCCTGCGCGCTCGACAGGTTGGAGAAGAAGGTGCCGCGCGAGATGTCCGACGCGATGGTGCCGCCCAGCGGCGAGGTGCGCAGCACGTCGACGATCTCCTTCTGGTCCTTGACGTACCGGCCCGCGTGGAAGAGCAGCGACTGGAACGCGGCGGCACCGCACGAGAAGGTCTCGTCCTGGCGGAAGTAGGGCACATTCGGGATCGAGGCCGACGTGGGCAGGGCCGACGACGAGGCCACGGCAAACAGGGCCAGCACGGCCAGCACGGCCGAGAAGTAGAACGCGCCGGTAGGTTGCATCACGACGCGATCGAGGTCCGGAGGGGGGAGTTCTTGTGTTGTTTGGGCGGTACGTGTTGGTCGAGACTGATGTAGACGCGCACTTTGTTGGGGCCAGCGGACCAACCGCGTTCGGGGAATATTCTTGGTGTCAGCGCCCCCACCAACTGGCGCGCGGCGAACATGAGTGTCAGCTCAACCGCTCGGAGATCTGGAGCT